GTAGCAAAATCGGTATTTCACTCAATTTTTGCATGTCGATTGCAATCAAAGATTTCGATTTGCTTATACACTCTGATTCTTCTTGACAATATGCTTTCATGAATCTGTGAAGTTAGGAATAAAGAAAAAAAGAAAAGAATCACAACTGAAAGAAATTAGAGGAAAAGAATCACTATTGAAGGAAGCTAGAGAAAAAAAATATAAGAACCTGTTTGAATGTCAGATGAAACTTCAATTATTTATAATAATCATTTATTTATTTATAATAATTATTTATTTACACTAGTTATTTATTTATACTAGTTATTTATTTAAAATAATTATTTATATGTAATAATTATTCATACATAATAATTATTTATACATAATAATTATTTATTTATAATAATTATTTCTATAATACTAGTTGAATACCCATTTTTTGTATGGGCCGAATAAAAGAAATCACTTAATCAGAACTGGACAACACACGAAATCATGCACAAAACTAAACGACATATGCTAACGTAATTGAATTGCTTAGTGGAAGAGACAGGTTAGTGATATTTTTATGGGGATTCATGAATCAATAAAAAGTGGTTGCATCAATATGGGTATGTTTAATGTAACAGAATTGTTTTGTATCAATGGGTATGTTTAATGTAGCAGAATTGCTTTTGTTTTCGCTCTAATCTTAAAGTGTTTTTTTCCACATTAGTTTGTGGAGTAACTACCACTACGATTAATAAACATGAATTCACTAGCATATAAGACATGCCAACCTGATTCAATCTTGAGGTACCTTTTGATAGATGAAAGTTGGCATTGTGTAATGGTCTTTCCCTCAAGTTTTTTGTTTACTTGCATGACTTTTATTTTCAAATTAGGCAAATGGTAAATAAAGTAAGGTAAGGAATTATTAGTCCCACCTTCTAAGAAATCGGTAATAAAATAGTACCGAGACTACTTTTTTTTAATCCTAGATAAAGGCAACATTTTCCATTATCAAGTAATTTTCTCCCGTACATATCCGTTTCAAGCTGCCGTAAGACACGCAGTATCAGTAATAAAACTGCTTAGAATTGGCAAGCTTTAATAATCAGCTAATATATGAATATAATACTTTGCACATAGATTAGTATAATTGGGTATAATATGAAAAAAACACAACTACTTCGATTTAGTAGGAACAACATATGACGCAATGCTAAACGAATGGAATTTAGTTGTTGTTTATTTAGTTGTTGTTATTAGCAGTTGTTGTTGTTTATTTAGTTGTATTTAGTTTCAATAACTTTTCTTTATAATGCAATAAAATCTGGCGAGCAGCTATTTAAACGATCGAACACTTCGTTTGTTTATTTGTGGCTTGAAGTTAGGCTCGCAGAAAATGCCGTTCATGGGTTAAATTTAGTATGAACAACACAACCTGTGACGTAGGCTATATTATACCCAATTGGTACTTGTTGCATAACCCTTAAACATTTTAGTTTCGAAATATATTTATCAGTGGCTGCAAAAGAAAACCAAAACAATGAAAACGTAGAATTCTTAGACCTTGATAAGGACTTTGGTTCATGACTATTTCTCTATCTTACCCTTAAATTACTTGAGATTAGTGTTATTTTTCCATTTCGTCGGCACAAGTCAGACATTGTATAAATTTATTTTTTTTTATTTTTTTTTTTAAAAAGCCAAAAAAAAAAAATTATATATAAAAAAAGAAGAGTTTAATTAAATGCACTTAGTGACTTTAGCATTGGTGACTGTAACCCCTGCGCCGGCGAAATGGATAAGTATCAAATTATTTATAAGTAAATTACTTATCTTATGAAAATATAAAATTATTTCAAATTCGCCAATTACCATAACACCAGTAGTACATGTTAACGAAATTAATCTGTGTACGGCGATTTTCTAAGGTTCCCCCAAATGAATTTCCAAATAATCTTTTCTCCATAAATTTTGCTTTTAGCACATTCTTTTTACTTCAATTAATACACATTACTTATAATAATTAAGTATTGGTATCAATAATATGGCAAATAATAATGTTCCCAAAAGGAATTAGTATCTTTTTTCCATTAATTTCGTTTTTTAGTACATAAGCTATATTTTTCATTTTAATTTAACAACATTAATTAGTCACCATCGTCATCAATAATAGTATGACAATTTTTTGAGGCTCCCCTAAACAAATAAGTATCTTTACTCCATTAATTTTGTCTTTTAGTACAAAGATTGTTTCAATACCTGAATTAATTAGGAATCATGATAGATTAATTAAGAATCATTGGCATCAATAATAGCGCAGCGATTTTTAACGTTTCTCCTAAGCGAATCAGCACTACTTTCCCATTAATTTTACCTTTAAATACTTAGTTATTTTTATTTCTTTTATTAATTCTTTTAATCACTTACTTTTATAGAAACATATTATAAAAGAATTACTATTAACAAAATAAACACGTGGTATCAGATAACTTTCGGAATATTCATTTGGTGACGTTGTCCATGAATGGTACCACGTTAATGTTGTTCATTAAATTTATCTGACACATTGAATAAAAAATAATTAAATACTGAAATAAGTGCAATAATTATATATACATATTTTTTGATCAAATAGAATTATAAGCCAGTAAATATTCCTGATATTACCTCTAAAATATTTGAAAAATTGAATCATCTATAAACTTAAATAAATGGTTAATGCTTAACCAATAAGAAAATTCGATTTCGTGTTTCACTCAACCCGCTCGAACGGTTCATCGTAGAATGTTCTAATGTCAACAGTGAGTTTAACTATTTGAATTCCAAATTTCATTGCTTTTGGTCGGGTGATTTAGGAGTCTATAAGGGACACACGCAGAAACATTCATTTTTATGTATAGACTAGCTGAATACCCGTTCTTCGCACGGGGTGAATATAAAAAAGAGAAGAAACGTTAAATCAGTAAGGAAAATTATTCTGCGAAATTAAGCTCAAAACTGAATGACATATACCCGTACAATTTAAAAACTTAGTGGAAGAACCAGGTAACTGATATTTTTTAGAGAAATTATAGTGAGTGAGAGAAAATAACATAAAATGCATTAACATAAAACCATGGTTGCATCAATATGGGTAAGTTTACAGTAACAGAATTGTTTTTGCCTTCACTTTAATCCACATTAGTTTTTGATATGGTTGCAAGATTTTTATTTCAAATTAGGCAATAGTAAAAAAATAATAACAATCATCTTGAATATTATTTACTTATTATTTAAATTAAAAAAATTAAAGAGTGCGAGGCTCTTCATTACCGTGTTAAGAAGAGAAAAATTCCTCTAAAATTAGGACTGCACCAACTAATGGAGCCACGAATGGAGTATAGTAATGACTCGTAGCTTTTCGAAAGTATTTTGGCTTGAATGGTTTGTCTTGTATAAGTGGCCCCCATCCTCCCCAAGCTCTTGGGCGCATTCTTCGGCAAATTCTGAATTCCCCCTCCCAAACTATTCGTTTTATTTAGTGTAAAAATTCCCCCCAAGCTTTAAGTGGGCGCATTGATGGGAGCCCTTGTGTATAATGTATCTCTTGGGTGGCATTTGTAAAACAAAAAATATTTTTGGATAATCTCAGTTGCATTTTTCACATCTAACTTTATAGCAAAATTATACCTTTAATTTCTTTGACATCATTTTTAAGAGATGCATTAATAAAATATTTATATTTCATTTGTTGGCAATTCATCCAAGTACTCAAATTCTGTCTGTTGGATTTTTGTAGATTTTCGCCTAAGATTAAAAGGAAGTGAAGGTCTGTTTTATGTGGTGGCAACGATTAAAAGGTTACTATTTTAATTCTCGTGGCTACATTATTTGCTGTTTTAGTCGCCAGTCAGTGCTTTTTCCCTGCTTTGTGCTTTGGCTCCATATTCGTAGTCATTGTAGCACGTGTGTTAGATTTGCTATTGATATACATTGATTTTATTAATTTTAGTAATTAATACTTGATTTTAAGACTTGGATAATCTCTTATGGTAAGTTTATTAGTTTTGAATTTAAAAAATATTCAATTTTTATGTTGTATGTTATTACATCACGTGTTAAATCTTATATTTAGAAATATTATAATCGCTCGATTATTGATATAGTTAAGTGTTTTTTTTCTCCCTATGAATGTGTAAATGTTGAATAAACGTATAGCTAATATAAAGAAACCGTGATTATATTCAATTCCGCAAGCATGTTATCAGATCTGCTGTTATGGTATGTTGTAGGGTTTTATTATTTTCAAAAGTTTCATTTATTGTTTTGGATTTTAAATACTCTATTCTATACTATTCATCTATTTATTTTATCACGTGTTACCTTTATTAGTGTTAAATATTGTAATCTCTTGTTTGTTAATATTATGTATTTTTTCTATAAATGTAAGAGTTCAGTAAATAATGTATGACTACATTTCTGCAATATATTATGGTACATAAATCTTCTGTGTTGCATCTTCGGATATCATAATTTAGACTGTTATAGCAAAATGTGTTTAGGTGGCGGGCATGCATTTGCTTACAAAAAACATGTGATCTGAGCTATTAAAAGTCGTGGTGTAATTTATAACTCAGTATTGTATAATANTTAGGCAATATTTAAAAATAATAATAATAATCATCTCGAATATTATTTACTTATTATTTAAATTAAAAAAATTAAAGAGTGCGAGGCTCTTCATTACCGTGTTAAGAAAAGAAAAATCCCGCTAAAATTAGGACTGCACCAACTAATGGAGCCACCAATGGAGTATAGTAATGACTCGTAACTCGTAGCTTTTCGAAACTATTTTGGCTTGAATGGTTTGTCTTGTATTATGTATCTCTTGGGTGGCATTTGTGAAAAAAAAAATATTTTTTGATAATCTCAGTTGCATTTTTCACTTCTAACTTTATAGCAAAAATAAACCTTTCATTTCTTTGACGTCATTTTTGAAAGATGCATTAATAAAATATTTATATTTTATTTGTTGGCAATTCATCCAAGTACTCAAATTCTGTCTGTTGTCTAGTATGTTTGTTTGCTTTAAGTTTTTGGAAAACAATAAGTTATGTGTTTTAAACGCACATTATCTACTATCTTTCAAATGAGGGTAGTATTGTAAGTTTTTGTAAATATTTCGTTGACTTTTGATTAACAATTAAAATGGCTATGGCTTCGCTTACTCTTGCGGATTACGATAAAATGATCCGTTCACTAAGAGTTTCAGACCTACAAACTCTCTTACATTTTGCTGGACGAAATAAAATGGGAAAGAAAAATGAATTGCAACAGCGAGCTCTTGAATTGCTCAAACTGCGTTCTGAATCAATTTTAGCTAAAATTAGAGAAATTCATGCTTATAAATTTTCCACTCCTCGAGGACATACGGACTTAGATATACACCCATTAGGCACTGTAAATGAGTCTTCTGCTCCAAGTTATGTTTCTCGACATCAATCTACTTATCCTATGAACAATCGGTCTATGTCTAGTCGCAGTGGTATGATTTCAAACCGTAATCCTATGTCAGGCCGTGGACCTATGCTTACACCCATGGCCGACATGATGCCTCCTTCAAAAATCTTACCTCCAAATCTTAGTGGAGCCATGGATATGTACAATCAGTATCCTCTAAGTCCAGACTTGAAATTCAAAGAATTACCATTTTATGATATATTAGCTAATCTCATCAGACCAACTAGTTTGATTGTTTTACACCATGAAAAATATCGAGAAAGAGAATATTCGTTCTGTTTTACTCCTATACAGCTCAGCCAGCTAGATCGAAATCCTGATGTTCAAGTTCAAATGCGCATGTGTGCTTTAGATGTAACCTCTGAACAGGATGATGAAATTCCGCCAAGTATATGTGTTCGAGTTAATAATAGATTAGTTACATTGCCTACTCCTATTCCAACTAATAGACCCGGAGTTGAACCAAAACGACCAAAGAGGCCAATTGATATTACTACGTTAATTAAGAGATCTGATACTGAAAATAACATAATTAATATTTCTTGGGCAGCAAGCAATGGCAAACCCAATGTGTTTGCGATTAATTTAGTTCAAAGATTATCTTCAACAACTCTAATCAAACGTTTAAAAGATAATGGAGTGCGTAATCCAGATCACACAACTGCTTTAATAAAAGAAAAGTTGTGCCAGGATCGAGACTCCGAAATTGCTACAATGAGTTTGAGGGGCTCTTTGATGTGCCCTCTGGGCAAAATTAAGATGCGGCTTCCATGCCGGGCCCTTACTTGTGCCCATTTGCAATGTTTTGATGCAACTCTCTATTTGCAAATGAATGAGAAAAAGCCAAAGTGGATTTGTCCAGTTTGTGATAAACCGGCAAATTTTAAAGATTTAGCCATAGATGGGCTTTTTCTGGATATTATATCCAGAGCCCCTGAAGAATGTAACGAAGTACAGTTTCATGAAAATGGTTCTTGGACCCCTGTTATGCCAATAGTAAAGAAAACTCCTCCAATCAGTGAAACTATTGATGCAACTCCTAAGGCAAGTAGTTCTAGTGCTCCTAAACCTAAACGACCCATTGAAGTTATTGATTTGGATTCTGATAGTGACACTGAAGATTCATGGCCTTTAATAACCCCTCAGTCAAAAACTCCCAGAATTCAGTCTGATCCTGATTCGCCAATCATCATAGAATCTTCTTCCAATAATGGACCATTTGCATCAACAGGAACTGGAGCAAAAGAATGTGATCCTTTCAAACCTTCTACATCCAAAACGGAACTACCGTCATTCGTTCCAGTTGAAAAGCGTGAACCTGTTACTTTAGATATAGATGTTGATATTGATTGTATAAGTAACCTTCCTCCTATTACCTATTCTGGTCCATCAACGGCTGTGGACACTGTTCCACTGCCATCTGTGTCGACTACGAGTTCTGCATTCCAAGAGACGAAAAATGCTGTGAAATCCATAACAGGAGATGGTGTTTCTACTTCTGGACAATTAGATTTTGACTTTTATTCCCTTATAAGGAATCCAGATGATTCACTTGATAATCATTATAGTGATATAACTGATAACGATGAACCAGAAATTATTGATCTTGACGATGACGACGATGACTAAAAAAAAGTCATTTATTGTAGCTTTTTATATTGATATGTGGAAGTGTTTTTGTGCTGATCTTTAATACTTTATTACTTATTCGTGTATATACTATATTTCAATTTTCCTTCTTATTCCAATAATTAATTATTAACAGAACAGCAACATATTTTGTTAAGATCAAATTTCACCGGCTTTTAAGTATTCTCCGTGGCCAAGGGGCAGAATTATATCTATAAATATATAGTGATTATTGTCAAAATTAAGCTAATAACTTATTAGTTAATTTATTTTGTGCTAAATTAATATAAATATTTTACTAATGGATAGTTTATTTAGCAAATTAATGTTGTAAACAACTTTTAATTGACAAAAGTTTAAATTATCTTTGTTAATTATTATAATCAGCGTGTTAAATTTCTCTTCAAGCTGATTATTAGACTAAATTTTTTTGACAAACTGATGCGTAAATAGTTGTGTTGCAAATATAAATTCAATTGAGGTGCTTTTATTGTTCAGTTCTTTAAGATGCAGTTTCAAACAGACTGTTTTATATTTTTGTGTAACAATTTCATTCTTAAGTATATATGCATGATGCAAACCTGTTTACCACCTGTAAGGTGGAAATTTTTTTTTTTTAACTTGCTGTTCTAAACATATCCGTATTTGTCAGCCCATTCTAGGTTTGCTTTTAGAATTTTTTTAAATACTTAAATAACATTTGCTGAAATTTATTATTCATTTTTTTATAGGATCAATTGTATAATGTTAATATTCCTTCCTTAAGTATTTCATGTAAATCTAAGTATTTATTGTCTTTATATTATGAACATTCGAGACAAGGAACAATTTTGTATAAGAGTATTTTTTTTTATTATGAAGACTAAGTGTATATATTTTTAATGTCTTATTACTTTCATTTAAAGAACAATTGAAATTCAAGTATATACTTATTAATCCAAATTAACTAGTAAGGATATTCGCCAGTTCGAATTATCTGAGATCTTTGTTGTTATAGATGTATGTTCGATTTTTCATCTGCCTCAAAGCTGTGCCTTCGAATCATCTTATATTAAATCAGAATTTCAAAAATTTATTTCTTTTTTTAAATTTTTCTAATGTGACAAGAATAAAAATGCATTTGCATGTTTTTCCAATGCATGTTATTCCAATGTTATATGTCATACATTTGCATGTTATTCCAATGTTATATTGATACCTATACGAATAGAAATGATCTCATTCTATCATATTGTGAGACTTATTCTCGTTACCGACAAATTAAAATGCATAATTAATAGATTAGCACCTTTCATGATAGTTTTATCATAATTCATATTTGCGTGAATTGTAAATGACTTATTTTAATGATAATATTTTCAGAATTAGATAGTGGCAGAATTCCATGTTTTTTCCCCTGCTGATTAGATATGTATGATTTTCGAATTATTTATTTGGACAACAGTTCTGAAGGAAATTGTGCGAAATTCTACTTTTTATTGAATTTTGCTTGATCCTCACTTACTTAAAACTATATATATATTTAAACCAAGTAATTACATGAGGAATATTTAAAATTCTTTTGATTTTGAAAACATTTTTATTTGGACTTTTCTAAAATTCAGATTAGAGAAGTTATAATTCTGTTCTTTCTGTATGATTACTTAGTATTGGTTAAGTAGCAAATCCGGCTTCTGACATTTCAAGTATTGTATGAAAGTTGACTGGCATTTTAAAGATTATAATTCACTTTGATGGAACACTAATGATGATGCAGGTGCTCCTGTAAACTGTGAATAAAGTAATTTTCAATTTATATTTTTTGAATTTGCTTGTATAAATGTAGCCTTTAATATATAATAAGTTTGATGTTTTCCTGAAGTACTGGAATTCTTTTCTTTCATACTATATATGAATAGATTTTATTAGAAAAGAATTTTCATGTGAAAATAGTTTCTGATTCTGTTATCCATTTGGTGAGTGTTAAAAAGTTTTCATTAACTTTAAATGTTTATTTTGTATCACAATCATTTGAAACTTTTTTTTCTTTGTTGATGTGTCATAAAGCCTTGTACTTTTATCCATTATTGTAAAAATCATCATAGAGCTCATGTTTATATTGATTTTGGATGCTTAAAATAATTATTTTTCTCTTTATTTACAGATATTTGAATTTTATCATTTTTTTTGAATTAATATACTGTAAAACTGCATTTAATGCTAAGAAATTAAATTAAAATAATTTTTACACAAAATACCTATTTTAGTTTTTTATTGTAAAGTGTTTTTTTTTATGTAAAATTATATATTTTTCCTGTTGCCTGTGTATATTAGCTCCTTGCCGAGTACAGTAAGATAAATTCTATTAAGTTCAGTACTGTAACTTGACAAAATTGCTGTACCATTAAAAAGTATTTACTATTATATAGGTATGTTTCTCATCAGTTTGCAGATTTAAGGCTAACACCATATTTATTCAATGGCTGAAAAAAGGGTGCCTGAAAGCAGTCATGTAATGGACAACACAAGCCTGAAAGAAGGCTTCTCAAACTTACACCATTCTTGATTTTAAAAATGCCTGTGAAGAATTACCTTTGATGAAACAAGCCAATCATCATACGCCTGAATTCCGGCCTGACTCAAAGTTGTTTTTGCCTGACAATGCATGCCTGAATGTAGGTTAGGAGAATTGGAGGTGAAAAATCAGGTTTTCAGTCCTGTTGTGTCGTTTTACACCTGATGTCAGACCTCATGTAAATGAGGACCAGGGTATTAAGTTAAGCATGAGATAGTAAATAAGTATGTAAATAATTTAGATGTTTTTATTATTTTTTTGTACCAAATAGTTTCACATGTTTTTTTTTAGCTTTTCATGATTGGAGTTGATATTTATTTTCAGCCTTTTTGTTCTTTCTCAAGCCTGTTAAGTACAGTTTTGTGATTATTAATTATACTTATTAATGAGTTAATTATGAATATAATAATTTTGTTTTATGAACTAGCTAGCTGAATTGTACTTTAATTAGTAATTCAAGTACATTATTTTTTTGTTTTGCAATTTGTATTTTAATTTGATTAAAATTATAATGTTAAATACTTTTGTATACAAATTGTTATATATTGGTTTAGATTGGTGCGAAAATTATGTTGTATAATTTTCTGTAAGTTGTTCTCTATAATTGGGGTGTACTAAGTATTTATTAGGTAGATAATAATTCCGGACACTGGGAATTTCTTTGTTTATTTGTAAGCTGATAAGTTACAGATTGTAATTATATCAGCAAAAGAGTATCAGAATATCTGTATACAACAAAACCTCAGGTTATGGACACTTCTACGAAACAGTCGCCTCTCATTACGGACATATTTTTAATTCTTTGTGAGTCTTCTGTGAATAAACCCGTATGTACTTTCCCCCGCAAAGTGGACACTGTCAGTCATTGTGGTGGGCAGACATTTCTACCATGGAGCATTATTTTCTATCTTCAAACTGAACATAAATTTTTCTAAATTTGAAAAAAAAAAAAAACTATTTCTGCTTAAAATTCAAAGAAAAAAAAAATGCTACTTTCCATGATTTTTAAAGCATATAAATTTTTATGCCTAATCCACAACTTGAAGTATTGTTAAGCTATTTCANATTCCATAATTTCTATGCTGGCTGGCTGCATAATTTACATTGAATTAATAAATGGAATTAATCTGCAAGCTGTCTTATAAGCAATTCCTTGCGCAATATGTGACTGTTTTTTTATAGTATTGTACTTTTTGTATACATATGTAGTTTTTTTTTTAGCAATACTAAATTTTCACAAAAAAAAATTTTTTTTCACGAAAATAATTTTTTTCTTTACAAAAATAGGTACTAGGATTGAAAACCTGGATTAAGCCCTGCTTCTACAAAACAGTTGCCTCTCATAACGGACATATTTTTAATTCTTTGAGAGTCTTCTATGAATAAAACTGTATGTACTTTTCCCCGCAAAGTGGACACTGTCAGTCATCGTGGTGGGCAGATATTTCTACCATGAAGCATTATTTTCTATCTCTTCAAACTGAACATCAATTTTTCTAAATTTGAAAAAAAAAAAGAAACTATTTCTGCTTAAAATTCAAAGAAAAAAAAAATGCAACTTTCCATGATTTTTAAAGCATATAAATTTTTGTACCTAATCCACAACTTGAGTATTGTTAAGCTATTTCACTACTAAAGAATCAATCATTCTCCTATCACCTTCCTTTATCATTGCAAAGAAAAAAAAGAAAGGAGGGAAAATGATACTACTGCTCATGTAAAAAATTTCGGACAGCGGCATCTTTACATCTGGAGGATACTGCTGATATGCCCTAAATGCTCTCAATTCCTTTCCCCCCCCAATTCCCCTTTCTGCTTCTAATCAATTTGGAGACTATTTAACTCAGCTGGGTAAAAGAGAAGAACAGAAATCTAGTCATTCAGTTGCTCATTTAAATGAAACATTTATTCAGACATTTTACAAGAAGATCAATTGTGAATATAACAAATCCATAAGGCCTCCTGCCTACAGGTATGCATTGCTCCTTTCTTATTTTCCGTGAATTCTGGGATAGTTACTTTCAGGGAGGTGTTCTTATCTAGTAATAGGGAGGTGTTAGAGAAAATGTAAATCTAATATTTAAACCATCTGTGGAAGTGATGTAGAGCTGAAAGCACTTATTTGCTATCATATGACTAACTCGAATGCTTGTGCAAATAGGAGAAACATACTTATTTCTCTGTAGCTACATCTAAAATTATGTAAATATCAGAATTTTTCATATGTTCTTGTATTGATAAAAGTATTTTTTAAAGTTTAAATAAATATCATTGTAGATAGTTATTGTAGATTATTTAATTATTTCTTCATCATTGCAATCATTTCAGAAACATTTTATGGTTTTAAACTTCATTAGTGTACTCTTTCCGTGAATGGACAACTCTTGGAAGAAGATCATCTCTTCGGTCCCAAAAGTGTCCGTTTAACCCAGGTTACACTGTACTAGATAACTTGTCTGTTCTGCATGATTCTATCCTATAAAATGTTGCTTACAATATGTCTTGTATGATTTGCGTTTGGTTACATGTTACTATTTTTCAGCTCTATGATATTTACCAAATAATGACTAGAATTACTCGTGTATTATTTTTAAATTTGGATTGATTTAAGTTTTAGTACTACATATTTGTTTTCAGTTAGTTTCCATTTTTTTGCTAAATTTAATGAAATAATTTTGTCAGTAAATAAGCAATATTTTTATTCTCCTGTATTTATCGTGGAATGAGATTCATATATATATATTTTAAAAGGTTTGCTGTCATTTTATATTTGTTTATTTATTTATTTATCTATATATACATTTCTCTTATGTTGCACCATCAACTCTAGTATTTCTCTATTTTTTTGCAGCACTATAGTTATTATTCATTTTGTTAAATTATCTTCAGTAAAAATTTAAGTAGTTACAGAATGGCTAAGTATTTAAAAAATTTTTTTTTTGTATTTTTATGGATATAAAAGCGAAGTATTTATTGAGATATTTTTGTTTATCCTTTCTAAAATGGCTGTAGAAATTTTAAACATAAATTGTGCAATGGTACTACAAACTATCATATAAATTATTGGTGATGGAGCTTACTTTTTGCACAATATTATATTTATATATTATATACTCAAATTAATGCTGGAGAGGTACGTGACATAGTAGTACAGCACTAAACGGAGCATTGGGATGAGTTTATCTTATCTGACAACAAAAATGGAAATATTTGTAACATTTATGCTGTATATTATGCTGAAATGTCATGAGCTCCTACTTATAATGGTTAGTATGATTTTGTAATTGCCAGACAGATTTTAAAATGTTGTTAAAATTCATCACTTTGACGATACTATGCATCTCTTGAAAATAGTTAAAATTGAAATCAAGGTATTTCTGTATGGCAACAGCTAGAGGGAAAAAAAATTAAAGGGATACAGTTTTTTTAAGTTTTTATAAATCTTAAATTATACTTGAAATTATTTCAGTGTTTTAATTAAGAAGAAAATTTTGAAAGTTACCTATACCTAGAAATAAATGCTATGCTTTTTTTTTTGTAATGTTTTAATTGTTCAAACATAAAAAAATAACTTAATATAAAAGTATGGTATTCCCTCTCTGTAAAATAAATTTCTTTGTCTATTCTTCGATGTTTGAAAATGATTAGATGTGTACATATAGAAGATATATTATCATAAATATATTTTATTTAAAACTTTGTTAATACTATTTATTTTAAGAGTTATGTGAAACCCTTCTAGCCTATTTTAATATATGTTTGTTTTCACTAAAAGCAGATAAGTTACAAAATTTGTTTTTAAGTAATATCTGTATATATCCGTTTTATATCTTGATATGTATTTAAAGTAATTTTTGTCTGTACTTAAATATTTGTATTATAATGTTAAAAGTTATGGCTCTAACTAAGTCAAACTATGTTGCTGTCCTTGTTTTCATCTGTTCTTCCACACATTTTTTTTCTCATTTATATTCAGTAAGCTCTGTAAGTTTTTAATGCTACTGGGAATTAAAAAAGCCTATGTTTTTGTTACATCTCATAGTTGATTTTTTAAAGTAATTTTGTTCGTAAATTTTTATTTTAGCATTCACTTAATTTTTTTACTAATATTGTATATAAGATTGTGCATATAAAATTTATATTACAAAACAATTTGTGCATTTTAATTGCATTATAGTTCAGTTGACATAATTTTACTAAATACTGCACTATTTTACCTTAAATTTTGTGTTAAATTTTGTGTTGTGTACAGGTTTCTTAGTTTTAAATGAGAGTTGTTATAATTTTATGGTATCAAAAATAATTTGAAAATATCATTTTTTAAATCTTGTGTTTCATTGACTATATGGCATTTTTCTTAGGCAGTAGATATCTAAGAAATCTAGGTAAATCACATTCAGCAATTTACCTCTAGGACATTATGTCCTAAGTCACCAGGATTTATGTTTAGAGACTGTCTCAAATTTTTTTACTCTTATAGCTGTCAAGTTAAAATAACTCATTGATTCATATTAGACTATTTTTTTGCAAGAGACATTCTGAAAATGAGATTCAATATGGTTTTTTTCAAAAGGGTTAACTGCAAACTAGATTATGCAATGGTATAACATATTTCTATTTTTCCACAAAGCTAAAAATAAAGTTGACACATTTTTTATACCGATTTTTCTGATCTTGGTAAAAATGGTACTTTTATCTTTCTAGTAAGAACCGGTGCTCGGTAGTTTATGTACTATCTTCCCAGCCTGTTTCAATCCTTCATTGTTTTGGAAGTATCACCTTCATGGTGTTGACTTAAGTTCAGGAAAAAGATGGAAGTTTGATGATGTGGCAAATTGGAGTTGTAAGAGGAGTGATCTAATCTTTTACGTCCCATGTGATGTATTCATTCTTTTATGTCTTGGTTTTCCATAAAAAAAACTTATTTGTCTCATTACTGAAGTGAAATATTTGTGCTATCTTAGCGATGTTTGTTATCATCATGGTAAAAATAAGTGCTTTCTGATTTGTAAGTTTCTGACAGCTATCATTGCTTTAGAAATGATACTGTGATTCTTGACTTTGATTTGAATGTTGACTTTGATTTCTGACTAATGATGGGGCGAAATCAGGGCTAAGAAATTTTTATTGCAGAAATTTCTGGTGAAGAAATTATCTTTTTATATAGTCTTGGATTATTTTTATTCCCATACCAGTTTTAAATTTTTGAATTATGACCATGATTCATTTTCGAAATTTTATTTTAATTTGGGTAAGAGACTTTTCACATTGAATTGAAGTAATGCTTTTATATTTCACATTTCTTTCCATTGATGGAATTGTTAATAAATTTTTCATTTAACAGAAGAGTTTTTTTTATCAGCAAATTTTATATTATTTGTATAACATGCAGGGTTACCAAGTTCTATCTTAAACTGAATTCAGAGTACCTGGTTGTTTTCCTTCGAAATAAATTAGTCCTGCTATGTTGTTCCATAGGGAATCTCTAGGTAGCAGAGATAATTTTTTTTAATTTTACAAAAGTAAAATAATCTTATTTTGGTACTTACTCTCTTGGTGCAAACGGGAAATATCCTAGAGGTGAATTGTTCATAAAATATATTGATTTTTATTATTTAAATATATATATAGTATATGTATATAATATATTTATTTTTCTTTAATTTTTCATAACTATAAATCAATTTTTTAGTTATGAATGCTAAGTGTTATTGTCTTCGTTATTTAATCTGTAAATATATTGTTTGAATAGCACAGATGCAAATGCAAAGCCTGTTAACTAAGGGTGCAAGTTAGAAAACTCTGTAACAATCAGAACTGCAAATCACGAAAAACTCAAAAATTGAAAAATCATACGTACATATTGAAGTTGAGTAGAAACATAAAAAAATGATTAATTTTACAAATTTTTCTTTTCTTTGCTGATCAGTTTTTGCATCTGTGCCTTACTTACATTAACTTTGTCTTTGAGAACACTATGCATTAGTGCCAGTAGCAAGTCATATGCTATTAAAGTATCAAATGTTTCAAATTTCCTCTTATTATTACACACCTCACACTAACATCTCCACTTGTTTTATATATTCAATGTTTGTTGGAAAATTTATTTTGTTGGAAACTCGTTTGTGGGAAAATTTATTTTGAATGTTTCAATTAATTCTCTAACAGAAATTTAGCTTGGTGTCTAAATAAGATAATTATGTTTTTTATTTTAAGCATATTTTTTGTTTCAGTAATTTTACACATTTCGTTATTAGCTCAGGCTGTTTCATCATCTCATTTTTAAATTGCTTTTGATACATTCAATTTCAGACCTCATTTACATACCTCATACTAACATCTCCACTTGTTTTATATATTCAATATTCTATTCTTGTTTGCGGGGAAATTTATTTCGAAGGTTTCAATCAGTACGAACAGAAATTTAATTTGTTCTCAGGATAAGATAATTATAATTTTTATTTTAAATATTTTTGCTTCGTATTTTATCACATTCCTTTATTAGTACAGGCTGTTTCATCATCTAGTTTGTCGGTTCAATTTGATATATTCGATTGTTAAAAACACATATCGTTGTCTTGTTTATTATTAGTTGTTTAACGGATTTAGCCCTACGCAATGTTGCTTAGTTATCATATTTGGTAAAAAAACGATCACTTAAAGTTGTAAAAGGAAAAAAAATAGTGGCCTTGCATAAAGTTGGCTTATTTGAACGTAAAATTAGATAAGAGGGTTTGAGTGAGAAGCCATTTGTCGAGCTATCGATTAATTAAATATTTTCAAAAAGCACTCAGACCTGAAGAGAAGCAATCATTTAAAAAAAAAAATTGCATTTGATGATTATATTATCAAAAAGGGTGGTTGTTATGTTCCTCAATAATCTCCTGCAAGAGGATTTAACACTCTCTGACTAAGAAGGGCTTCAATAACAATAGGAGTACTATTTTATGATGTTTAAAGATTAAATGTGCTTTTTTTTAATCCTCTAAAGCTTTTTTTTGCTTCTATTTTTTTATTTTTTAAAAAAAGTTATTCACAATGCTATTCATAATGCAACGAACATTTTAATAAGATGTCTTATTGCAACTGTAGGTGAAAATCTAACTGATATGGTTCAAAATTTTCTTAAGGTTGTAGGAATTGTTTTTTTCTTCTTTCTTAAAATCTTTTTTTTTTAATATATATATAAGTTTGAAAGCGCCATTTATAATACAATGAACATTTTCATAAAGTTTCTTATTGGGATTGTTGGAGGAAATATAACTGCAATAGCTCAAAAATTGCTTAGGATGAAAGAAAAAGCTTCCCTCCTCTCTTAGATTTTAATAAACGTATCATGGATATCATTCATACTTATTAGAGGATGAGTATTAGGCGTTGCTCTTAACATTAATTACGATTTTGTAATGGCAGATATCCAAAACATGCTCTTGTTTAATGGAGATACGTTTAAAAAAAAATAATCCAAGACACACCTTAATGGGAAGTTACTGTATGAAACTCTGAAGTTAATTTTTAAAAATCTATTTTTTCATTGTTTCTTTTAGTTAAGATGTCTTAAAGAGAAATTTTTTTTCATCTTCTGAAATTAAACTGAATTGCTTTTGAAACCAAACATCATATATTAAGTACACAAGTTAGGAAATTTATGAACATGCATTGAAATATGTAACAAATCAGTTAATGATGTAAATTGTTTTTAATCGAAGGATGATACATGAATATGTACACTATATACAAAGAAATTGTTTGTTTCAATTTACTTTTAAGTCTTAAATATTTTTTCTTGTCTTCCATGAACTCTGATGGAGTTCCTAAAATATTCAAATTTTTCTTGACAGATATCAATATTATTGGATGGCAAACCTTCTTTGATTTTTGTGATAGGCTTTCCATTAGATTCAATGCTGCATTTTGGTTTCGAAGTGTAGTACCACATGTATTTTTCAAAGTAAAGAAATGGAGCAACGCATGTAACATAGCAAATACATGCTATGGCTACTGTGAAGACGATACAAGCTGTAGCATACATCGCCTGAAAGAGAATGGGGAAAGCAATATCAAGTTTCTTACATTATATTTGTGAAAAACAAGATGAATTATAACAGTCTTTAATAATTATTGTTGAAATATGTTGCTTTTCAATAAGGTGGATTGGAATGTGAGGATTTCTGAAAAGAATATACTTCCGTGGTTAATTGCATTGCTATCTTTATATCTCAATGCTATCCTAATTTTTATTTAGGTAGGAGTAATAAAGGAAAAGAGCTCTGCAATCAGAATTATACCCAAGAATGTGGTATTTAATTAGCTCTGTTTATTTATTCCAATCTATTTGGTTTCAAATTAATGTTTGAGCCAGAACATTTTTATAAAATGTTTTGGATTTACAATACCAAAAATATGTTATACCATATTGTGTTGATTATTTTTATTCTAATCATAGAATTTTGAAGAAGCCATAAGTTCCTTACTCTATTTTAGCCTACTTTTTAGTGTTAAATTTTTCCAATTTGAAAAAAAAAAGTGTGAATAAAGTGGATGTCTTTAGCAGACGCTCTGTTGCTACCATGAGTTTTTTAACATGTGCTTTTGGAACCATGTCTTCCCTTTTTAAAGGATTCAGTTGCTTTGATTTCTTGAACGACTTAGCCAGCCATATCTCTAGACTTAAATCCGGTATTAAAATAATTCGTATTACTTTTGCAAATAATTAGCTGCTTTGAGTTTTCCTCTCCGCTTGTTATATGTGATAAGCTAGAAAAAGGGCAATTTAATGTCTAGTCTTTGCTTCCCATTTCAGTGTGTGACAACATCATTGGCAGCATGAAAAGTCGATACCCCCTATATCTTGATATATTCCAATTTTGTAATGTTTCTTCGACATTTTTCTAATGAAATAGTGATGTGCCATTTTCTCTGAAAAAGAGCTTTCGTGTCAAGTGTGCGTGTGTATTTTGTTGTAAATCATGTTTCTATTTGAATGCATGCGAATCTCTGTGTCGCATTCAATTAAAACTTTAGTGCACAGTTCTTCTAAATTTCAATTTCATTTTTTAACTAACTCTTAAAACCAATAATTTAGAAATGCAATATAAATAATTTTAATCGTTTTAACATATAATTGAATCCTGATGTGGGTAATGACATTAATTAGAATCGAGAAAATTATACATTTTCCTTATAACAACATAATAGTATAATATTAAATTTAGCTATTTTATTTTTGCATTTATTACTTACGTACTTATTTATAAAAGCATTTAGTAATCGTTGCCGAATTATCCCACTGAATACGATCAATGTATTGTTCTTATAATTGAAAATTTTTCAAATTCTTATAATGGAATACTTAGATTCCGGCTTATCCCCACTATTGAAGTTCCTGTGGAAAATTTGCTTGTATTGATTTTTTAGTTTACATCATCTTTTGACTTATTTTTTAACGTAATTACTTGTTTTTGATTTCGAGAAATTTGTTTTAAAGAGGCGGCAGTTGTTCTGCTATTGGGTGCTCTAATGCGTCTTGGAAACAATTAACACAATTGAACTTTAAGTTCTGTTGCCACTCTCATGATTTTATTGCCAGGTGAAATTCTACTTTTAGTTTTGAGGACATTATTTTTCAATAAAACTTTAAACTTAAATATATGTTTGTTTTTATGAAAATGTACTACTTGCCTGATCTAAATGAGCCATGTACATTCTTTCTCTGAGTTGTCCTTCATGCAGAAATAAGATGAGAGGGTGGAGGAGGTATATGAGATTAGCTAATCTTTCGAAGGGAATGAACAATTTCCATGATAAAATACTGTTTACAAAACCTGTAAACAATATCAATTTAATGTAAAGCATAATTATACAAAAAACATGCACAGTATAGAAGAAAGAAAAAAAACGGACCACCTTGAATAACTTTTGATTTAATTATTGGAGGGGCGTGATCCCAAATATGCTAATTAATTTGTCCTGACGATCAAAAACGTACCCTTTTTTTTCTACGGATTTGGATTTCAGACGCTCGAAATATAGGGGGTAACCCCAATGTGAGAAATATTTTCCCAATAGTTTAGTTTGGACCTTTTTATGTTACTTTTACATTATGCGTATTTCGCCATAATTTGAGAAATTTTTCAGAGATTTAAAAAATGTTTGCACACAATTATAAAATTTGTTTATCCAATAGNAAAATTTAATCTTGTGAAAGAAAATTGATTTTTGAGCTATCAACTGATTTTTTATAGGTTAAAATGAATGAAAAATACTGTTAATAGACAGCAGAAGTCACTTCTGGTCAAGAAAAAAATAATAAGTTCCTTGTGTTCAAACTTTTTACATCAGTTTTTAGAAGAAAATCACCAACATACCATTTCAATTTGTTTTTATTGAGATAACTTACGTAAAATTGACGATTAACCAAGAATAACAAATATTGTGTACGTGCATGTGAGAAATATGGTCCCAATGTGAGAAATATGGTCCCAATAGTTTAGTTTGGACCTTTTTATGTTACTTTTACATTATGCGTATTTCGCCATAATTTGAGAAATTTTTCAGAGATTTAAAAAATGTTTGCACACAATTATAAAATTTGTTTATCCAATAGTAATTCCATGCAAAAAATAATTCTTAGTAACTATTTTTATTTTCGTATTTTGTATCATTTTATTTATTAATAGTCATAAAATATTGAACTGTAAGATATACAAATTTTTACATCATTTTAAAGGATGCAATTTTATGGATTATTTAAGGGATGTTAAGGATTATTTTAAAAGATGAAACTTTACAAATTTTCTACGAAGTCGGTGGAATAATTCTTTAGAAATCAAATTTTAACTATACGACTTCTTTAAAATTATTACGAATTATTCAATCGGCATTGTTTAAATTTTGTATTCTGTCTTATAAAATTGTACCCTTTTAAATAATGTAGAAACTTGTATACCTTATAATTCAAAATACTTTCGACTGATATTAAATAAAATGACAAAATTACTAAATAATTATTGAAAATTATTTTCTATCTTTAGATAAACGAATTTTATAATGTGTGCCAAAAGTTTCCGATTCACTTAATTCTCAAGATATTGCGAAAGAAGCAAAAAGTAAAATAATATTAAGAGAACCAAACTTTGAATCTTTCTCTTGACCAAACTATTGGGACCATATTCCCCTGATTGCGGCATTGCCCCTTATTTAGGGGTTAGAAATTTGAATGCATAAAAAAAGTATGTTTATTCAGCGAAAGTACGCTTTTGTGTCTGATTTCGTAACTTAAAATATCGTCTGCTAGCATATTTGAGGTTATAACCTCCTCGAATCGTTTAAAACGGCTGTTCTCGTAGATTGTAAACGACTTTCGTATTCGATATTTTTTTAAACATGTATGCAAGTGAAAATATTAATAACTTTACCTCCATAACCATAAGCGCATGCAAAAACGATCCAAGCAATTCCAACAGACCATACAACTCTATGTACAGCTGCATAGATGGCTGATAGAGTGATTTCCATAGGTTCTCCATGTCTGTATCCATAGAGACCGCACATGACAGCCAAATTGCAAATGATGGCACTGCACCAGCCGAAAACAACTAATTTCTGTAATGTAGCGGAGAAAAAAATATTAGGCCGACTCAAGACTGTGTTCCGGTGTTTTAAACTTCATATAAAAAAATAATTATATCTTCAAACAAGTGCTTTTATAATTTAATTTTTAATACATGCTAATTATATAAAGTATTTTTAATAATCAATACGTTTAATATACTATTAGAATATTTATTTATTTTGAATTGGGTGCAACTATGAAAATTTTCGCGTTTGTATTTCTAAATAAAATTTTTATTTGACTATCTAAATCAAACCAATAGGACACGCCTCTAGCACATTTTGATGGCATGAAATTGGACATAGTCACAAAGTTCATGTGTTTTGTAGAATTTCAACTTTCTTGTTTTTCTGTGAAACTAGTGAACTGATTTTTAATTTAATCCTTTATTTTTCTAGCATACTTAATAAAAAAATTTTTTTCGCGAATTTTAAAAATTTGACTTGTAAGATTTAAAATTATGTATTATTTTTTTTTTAAATTGACTTTTAGTGCAATTTTGACTTTAAACATACATAAGAAACTCATTGATTAGAAATTTCAGAAAACCCGCGAGGAAAATTGTGTACCATAACATCAGGGAAAAAAAAGAAGAAAATTGATTAAGTTGTTTTTAGATTGTCACTCAGTTGTTATTTTAACTTTTCAGTAATTATTTTTTCTTCATAAATAAGCGCAAACACTGAAATTGTATAATTTTATTTTAAAAAAAAGAAAGAAAAAGCGTAATATCTTTTTAATTGTAACGTATGAAAATTCGGCTTTCTACAAAATACATTGCATTGTATAAATACTTCTGTACTTGCCAAACGTTTTTAGAATGAAATGTATAAGAATTATTATATACTTTAGCATTATATGTAGTACGTAAGTATTTTATATAATGATTAATGTTTTTTAGTCAAAGTATGAAAAAATATCATGATAAGGCTGTTATTTAAAGGAAGTTCATTCCAGAAACATACAAATGCTTTTATTCAAAAAACTATCATAAGGAGACCTATTTGTTACCGGTTTTCTACAGAATGTAAAAAAGTGTAGAATCCCTAAGCCATATGGAAAATGTTTTATTAATTGCAACGCATTTTTTTCTTCACTTTTAGACGGTATTCGGCATTAAAGAGCAAATTCTATGCATAATTCATGTTTTTTTTGGAAATAACTAGACATTTTTCATTTCAATTCTCCACTTTTTTTCTGCATTCATGTCGTATTTTATTTATTATTCATCTTGTAATTTATTATCTTGGATTTTATTTTATTTTCGAATTCAGTTTTACTTTTTTCTGAAACTGCAAGAACTTCTTTATGAAGAATTGGTTAAATGAGAAATTTTTGCTATTAAATATGCTATATGTGAAATAAACTATTATATTTTTAGAAATTATAATGTGTTATATTATTTTAATAATTTATTTACATAACATTGCATTTAAAATGAAATGAAGCATTTACCTTTTTAAGCTGAACCTTTTCATATTTGTTGAAGAAAAATCCTAAAAGAATTCCTATGCAAAAGGAACCTACATGGTCATATGCTTGGATGAATAATTTTTCCCACACTGTTTTGATGTTACTGTAAAAATATTTATATTAAATACGCATGTTTTATTTTTATTAAGAAAAAGAAATTGCTGGAAAATTTTTGTATGAATTGTATTGTTCAAGCTCACCCTTAAAAGTTTAATGTTCCCCTCCTCCGCAAGAGAGCGTTGTTATGTGATTGTTTTGATCGCGTGAATTTTTTATTTGCTGATTGTAAGTTGCGTTATCCACAAATTACGTTCGATATGTTTCGCAAGAAGGACCAAAATATGAGGTAGCAGCAGCTTGTATAAAACAAATAATTTATAACGAAAAACATAATAAACACCGTAGTAGTTGGACGGACACATATCTGTTACATATGGTGGGAGCAAGTCTGACTCATTTCTGCTAAAAAAAAAATAAGCTTAACAACGTCTCCTTACGAAGAAGGGAAACATTAAACTTTAAAGGGTGAGCTTGAACATATATAAAAAAAGTACAAAAAATAAAAATAAATTGAAAATAAGTGTATTTAAGATGATTAGAAGATAGAGGCTATTTATTATTGAATTTTAAAATCATCGATCTCTTTGAAGTAAGTTTCACAGTGTAAAAATTTCTGAATCAAATTACGATTAAAAGTACCGGTACTCAAGGTGCCTGTACTTTTTACAGTAGTATTTACAATAAAATTACTGAAATTAAATAAATATAATTGTAAAAATTAAGGTGTAAAATTTTACAGTAAATATGGATTTTATGGTAAAAGGGATTTTATGAATGCTACATTCAAGGTGCCAGTACTTTTTTACCGTAATTTGATCCGGAATTTTTTATAGTCTACTTGTGAATATTCAAAAATTGTGTTTGAAGCAGAATTGTATTTGTTCCTAAAATCACAGATTCAATTAGGACGCCTCGAAAGTTTTATAGATTCATTCCGGCCTTAGAATTCGTTTTTAGCACCCAAGGTAAGAAACATTTATAGGGACACTTTATAAGACAATCTAGTCTTTCAAAGCTACGAATCACCTTTCGCCGAGAAAATGACTTACATTACTTTACTTACATACATTCCTTTGCAGCTCGGAAGTTCTGACTTACGTTGCCACAACAATACAATCTTCTTCATTATTGACCACGTATACAACCAGCATCCCTTCTCTAGAGTTGGAAAGCTCATATCACTTCAATAACGGAATTTTATTTTACTAAAAGGTAGCTGACTTGTAAGATGACAACACATTTTGAATGCACTGTAAAAAGTTCCGTATCAAATTACTGTTAAAAGGACTACCGTAAAATATTACACCGTAATTTTTACAATAATATTTAATTAATTACAGTAATTCAGTGATTTTACAGTAAATATTACTGCTACTCAGTATTACATTAAATATTTCTGTAAAAATCACGCTATATCAGATATTTTGTTCCGTAAGATTTTACCGTAATTTGAACCGGTATTTTTTACGGTGTAGAGCATCATATACTAATAGTATGGTATTAAAAATGAAATTTTACATGAAACTCAGGAAGTAGAAGGCTGGTGCTGGAGGAAATTCATTCATGAGTGTGACTATGGCAATGGCAGCACCGCTTCCCAAAATTAGCATCACATTTACGAAGATTCCAATAGGAGTCGATCTAATTAAAAATAAATTAAAATGTAATAATCATTTAAATTTAAAACCAAATATAAACTTCAGATTTTAAAAACAAAATTTTAATAGTTTTAATTTTTAGTGTTTCAGGAAAAAAAAACTTTAGAAAGGCGACTTATGATAAAGGCAAAGAGCAAAGATTTCCTATTGTTATAAAATTAGTCTAAACAATAGAAGAATATAACGACATAAAAATTAAAATGATCATAATGTACAACTACTTTCATTTTAAAATGTAATCTGACAATAATTTATAGTTCATAAATATTGCTTTTATAAGGTTAATTCACGTATCATATGGTAAATATTTCGTTAACATATCATCATATACTATCAATGAAATAATAACTTATATATTATTCGCATTCTTTTTAGTCCATTTTATGATAAAATCAATATAAATGTTAAAAGTTGTGTGACTTAAGTCACAATATTTTAAATTATGCATCAAACTTTAATAATTAAAAAAATATTAAGAACATTCTAAACAAAGTTAGTCACATTTTACGAAATGAATTTATGGCACAAATGGGTGCAGTAAGTTGAATAAAAGATAAAAGGTTTTATTTCCGCTTATAGAAAGGAACTTTTAAAAACTTACAGAAATTTTAATAACTTAAAAATTATATGTTTTGTTTTTTGTACATCTTATGGTAAAATCAATATAAATATTAAAAGTTGCGGAACTTGAGTCACAATATTTTAAATTCTATATCAAACTTTAATCATTAAAAATTAGAAAGAATTAACCTTCTAAACAAAGGTAGCTATATCAAAAACTATTTTATGGCTCTAATAGGTGCAATAAATTAAATAAAAGTTCTTATTTTTGCTCTTTATTTTAGCTCTTTATTTTTGATCGAAGCAATTTTTGTAAAATTAACACTTAAATATGGTTTTATAATAAGTGATAAAATTTATTAAATATGGTTAAATTTAGTAATTTTATCTTGAAGAATTAGAGTATGACAGAGGCATATTAGAGTTTAGCATTCAAATTTATTCGGCTAAATTTACTTTTAAGTTTATATTTTTTACTAAATGTGTGGTAATAAAAACCGTAATTTTCAAGACAAGAATTTCCGGTAAATCATTACCGTATGAACAGAATAATTACCATATGAATGGTTTAAATATCATATATTTTGATCTTATTAACAGACATTATAATTTTTTTATTTCCCATAAAGGTCATAACTATAGTGATTTACCTAAAAATTTAAGTGATAAACAAAAATGTTATAAAAACCTGACAAATCATTTACGATGTTAATCAGAACAGAAATGGTATTAAAATAATCAGAGCCTAGTTCCCCCCCTCTATTTTGCCCGATTGATGAAAGGTAACGTCTTTGAGTTTTATCCAAGAGAAATTGATTTTTTGTGATTTTAATCTCATCTCAATCTAATCTCATTTTAATCATATCATGTGTTTACTAAAATCAGAGATATTTACTACAAACATTTCTTTTCCTATATTGCTTTGTAATTTCAATTTAAAAATTATTTATGATAGGCATAATATTTTAAGCTTCTTTCTGCATTTCGCATTATTTTTTAACATAAATTACAGCAAATTTATTTTTTGAAAGTAATACTTACTTGTTAAGAATTAAAAATATTACAGGAGCTACAATGAATAAGTGCATCATGCAACATATTAACCAGGTGTGCGGTAGACACTAAAATTAAAAGAAACTTCTTAACACATTCAAAATCAGCCTTATCAGTAATAATTATCTGGCAGAAGCATTTTTTCAAGACAATAAATTAATAATTCAAAACACATATTTGCTTTAATTAAATACACGCGTGTTACAAAATGAGTATGTAAAATTATTTAGATATGTTTAACATTTACCTTTCGCTGCATGTTTCAGCGCTTAAATTTTCTTTATGTCAATTTTTCTTAAAAATTTCATTTCATATTCTCTTTAAAATGTGCTTGACACACAATCTAAAAATTGATCTGGTGATTGGGTTTCATTCTTGAGAATTAAAAACTTTATGAGATATGAATCGAGGTAATATTTTAATTATAAATTATTTTCATTAAAAGATTAATTTAGAAATGGATCATCATTCTGTATTAGTTTTTTAATTGCAAACACAGAAAGATCAATTTAAAAATGAATCTAATTCATTGATTCTTAAATTTGAGAATTGTAGAATCAATAAAAAACAATATATAAATTACTAAAAACAAGGATTCTTTTCTTTCAAAAAGGAAAGTGTTTATCAAAATCAAATTAAAAATTGATTCCTTCAGAATTGAGGGATCAATGAGAATCCATTTAGAAATAAATTAAAATGGTTTTTCTTAAAAAAAATTTGAGAAGTAATAAATCAATAGCTTGGTTTCTTATCAAATATAATAAAAAAAGTTTAGAATACGCCAGTTTTGCTCGTGATATTTCCATAAGAGCAAGCTTATATGTAGAAAAACATAGCTAAATTACAAGATATTGACCCTCTAAAATTCTTCCAATTAAGTCTTTTTCTCTGTCTCGGTATTTCGCACTGTCTTATTCATGAAAATTTTCATGAATTACAATTTAATGGTTGAAAAAAAAACCTCATAATTATACACTAAGAAAGAAAGTATTACGTTTAGATACTCGATATTAGATATCGGATTAAACATTAGATATATATAAAAAATTCAGATTAAGACGTGTTAATAATCTTAAATAATATATGGTGAAGTAAGCTTCATTACTTTTCCAAAGTTGAGTAAGTAAGCTAAAACTCATTTGAATGCTCGTTAATCTACTTGTAAAAATGGAACAGTTTTTCCTCTATTGTACAATGGGAAAACGTTGAGACATGGACAAATTCCCATCTATAGTCCGGGCTTCTCAATCTATTGATCACTTGTTAATGAACTGTTCTCAATTCCAGACAATCCGGGGCAATAACTTTAATAATATTGGCCAACATCAATGCTATGCTAACCTGACTTGTAGAAATATCATAAAAAAGATTATTAAACAAACTTTAGAGGATGTATTGGGGGACGGTCTTCAATGTTTCGGAACTTGTTCCTTCCAGCTTGGGTGTCTCATTTTTTTTTTACTACGTCTTTTATAAACTCTTCTTCTTTTACTTGCTCCAATTTTATTGATATTTACTTTTGTACTATTTAATTGGTTTTAAAGTACTGTTTTTAAATGTTTTACAATATTGTTCTTTTGTAAATTTTGCACGTTTATCTTTTAAATTGTTCTTTTAAATTATTCTTTTAATTGACACTTTTAATATTTTGCTGTTTTAAATGTTTATCACCTTACATGATTTTAGCTGCTCTACGCCCGTCATGTTCATGGGCTGTTGCCATGTCTGATGTGTATTTTATGTTTGAACTGTTTTCTGGATTTTTTTTTATTTTAATAAACATTTACCCGTATGCCCTAATTAAGGGCGGGTCGGGGTAAATTCTTCCATATAGTCCGGGCTTAATATCCACGTCTTTTTACTTATTTATTATTCTTTTTTAAGTTTGGAGGTAAATTTAACTGTTGTTTAAAGACAAATAGGGTTTAAATTTTCTTTTTTTCATGAAAATTGAAACTTCGTAATTATTGTTATTCCAATTTACAGTGAATAAGTAAACATTGCGTACTGTTATATCTGATGAAAAGAAGTTGTTGATTGCTAGAATATTCATCCACCATCTTTGCTTGCAGTTTTCTATTACGGGAGCCACAACATCTCCCCATATGGGTCCATATCCCAACAAAGGTAAGCACATAAGTAATCCGATCACTATCACCTGTGACAATGTAAATCTATAGGAGAAAAAAATTTCCATCAACATAATTTTTTTATAACTAATTTAATGTGTTTTCATTAAAATTTTATCTGATTAATATTAATTAGTTTTAATTTATAGTATTTTAATATTTTCTCGGACTAGTTTTACTGACATTGTACAGTTATTATTATTTTTCTTTTTTATCTTGAAGACTAATATACCTTCGACTTATTGACTGATATACTGACTTTCATCATAAAAATTTGTTCAAATATTTTGAAAGGCCAAGATAAAAAGTTTTGGAAATTTTTTTATTTGCGATCTTATATTCTGTTGGACGTGGAAACATTTTCAAATTCGGTTCCATTTTGAAAAACATGTGTTTTGAAAAATGTATGCTTACATATATTACAACAACATGGATTTTGATTTATTGCTTCTTCCTAAGAATAATTGCACTAAAAGAGAAAGATCTATTATGACATATTTAATCTATCGACTTATCTGTTTAAACTGATCTACATTTTATTTCAGATTAAGTCACCAAAAATTTTACTGTTTCGTTTTCCATAAACATTGCATTACAGTTGCATAAAACTTGCATTAAACACTTTTACTGATAACTTATACATTATGAATTTCATTTGTATGAAATAAAAATGTAATTTTCAGCACATGTTGGTAGCTTTTATTGCATTTATTGTTTTCTATTGAATAGTTGATGATGTAAGTTTAGTTTCAAAACATTCTTCTTTGATTCGTTGGCTTAGAATTATGCATTCTCATAAAAATCAGTCGTCACTGGCTAATTTGCTGTCTTTAATAAGATGTTAAATTAAGCCATGTTTCGGTTCATATTGAATTGCAGTATTATGTGATTAAGTTAAAAAAAGGTTTAATTTACGATTACGGACTAAAGATTTTACAACACAGTCTAACTGTGGTCCACGATAAAACTGTTGGCACTGTATTAAGGCAACAGCATAACGTGCGATACTTTGGTTAAACGTGCACAGGGAAAAACAGTTTGTTAAAAAATTCAGGCATATGATTAAATTTACAGTGTTTCTGATTGCATGGGAACTCTAAAAGCTTTTTAATTTTTGCTGAAGCACTTCAGTAATGGTAAAATTAATTATAAAATCTGGTTTTATTAAATGTGATAAAATTTGGTTATTTTATCATGATACCTTAATGCGTGGCATAAAAGCCATTTATTCGGTCAAGTTTACTTTTCAGTTTTTCATTTTTTACTAAATGTGTGATTTAAATTTCGGAAGGAACTATAATTTTAAAAGAAACTATAATTTTGAAAACCAGAATTTCAATCAATGAACAATTATCATATCAATGGAAAAATTATTGAATGAATGGTTTAAATACCGCATATTTTGGTTTTATTAACCGGAATAATGGTGTTTTTCACCAGAAATGTCATTACTATGCAGTACGGTATTTTACCAGAATTTTTTTTCTTTGTGTGCTTATCTTAGTATACAGACAAGAATGACTGAGACATTAATAAGGTACATGCTGTTGCACTTTTTTTTGTGGAGAAAGCTATGAGTTTCGCTTTAAGCATGAAAGCATTGTTAATCAAGCAAAACTTTCTTTTACACGTAAATAAACAAACTATTGTCTATTTATTATTGTTTACGCTTTGTTTTTTATTGTTCGTTAATATATATGTATATTTTAAAAAAAATCAGCTATTATGATTTTTGTTATCGTATTTATATATCCTTATTATTTCTGGGAATTTCATGTCCTTCAATATTTTGTTGTTTATTTATTGTATTTCTAACCTTCAATTCATTTTAACTGAATTGGAACAGGAAATGCGGTTTCCATATTTCACTCTGAGTTACAGTCTTTATTTATTATTTTTTTAAATGACATTTTTATAGTATTTTTTTGGCTGAAATGTTCAAGTTTAATAACGTCGTATATAACAGTGGGTCACATAAACGAATTATTATATCTCATTAGGATTAAAATTGCATCGGAAGCCATGCCTGGAAAAACCATCGTCTATGGCTAGGAGAGCTTCCTAATTTTGTTATGTTCAGAAGCAAAAGAAGAAAGAGTTTATAATAAGGAAGCACCCCTAGCGGCATATGACGACATTTCCGGCATGGTTTCCTATACAGTTTTAATCCTGATTATGGCCTTAACTCCCCTAAAAGTTTGTCGCAACATTTATGCGACCTCGTGTTACATATAAAATTTCTAAACTTATACATTTCAATAAAAAAATAGACTAAATATGTCATTTAAAAAATGTGTAGTTTTAAAAGCAAACCTTACTTTAGATTTGTCAAGATAAAGTATTTGTATCGCACGCCCATCAGGCAACATCAAGTAATTGTATAATTGTAACAAATTTTTTTCCCCAGTGAAAAAAATTAGGAATTTAATGAGGAATTAAGTTTTGAAACTAAAATTACAAACTGTTTTTGAAAAGTATACAAATGTCTGCATAACGACGTATATTCCAGCTGATATTATTAATTTTATGTAAGATATATACCTTTGAGTGAAAGATACACGTTTTACCTGATATACCATTTCAAAATGAATTTCGGAATATTTATGTTGATATTACGGTTCTGGCTTTTCCACCATAATCTATAGGTAACTTGCAATCCTCTGTAAATATAAATTAGTTTGATTTAGAAGATTGTTTTAATTAAATGGTTTGTTAAAAAAACGATGACAAGTCACATAAGCAAAACATTTAAAGGAGGAAAAACAGCTAGAAATGTATGATAATGTAATACACTGTTTAAAATTTTTTATAAAAATGACAGTATAAAGTACCGGCGTTTTTTGCGCATCATCCGTAAAATCCATTATATACCGTAAATATTATACCGTCATTTTTGCAGTAATATTTATTTAATTAGAGTTATTTAGAGTGGTTTAGAGGTTTTAAGATAATTATTTCTGTAAAAAGGATGGCATATTAGATTTTTTATTGTTCCGTAACATATTTCTGTAAAAATGGATTTTACGGTAAAAAGTACCTTGACTTCCGGTACTTTTCACTGTAATTTGATCCAAAATGTTTCAAAGTCAAGTACTTTACTTTTAAATAATTATTTCAAGAAAACTAAATTAAATAATATTAAATAAAAGGATGAATTATGTTTTTTCTTTGAAAATTGATTAAAAACGGGAAATTTTTTTCCACCACTTTTTCTTATTCTCCAAAATTTTCAAAATGTTGAAAGTGAGACGACGTAGTTTCACTCCAGTATCAGTTTAGAGAAAGACTGTAGTTAATTTATAGATATTTGATAGTTTAGCATGTCAATCTGTTTGGATAATAAAATTTAATAATTATGCTCTGAAGTTTTTAATTTGCTTAATTAGCTCCAGGTGACGAATATAAACTTATAGAAAAATTAGCATTAAGGAACGCTTTTCATCGCTTCCCTGATTATAAATTAGGTGAAAAATATATTTCATGGACAAAAACAGAAAAAAAAGTTGTGTTTGTTCAAATATTACATGTTTATGTTTTTGATTTCGTAAATTTAAATATAGTTAATTATTCACAATTCACAGTTAATTGGTTAACAAGGCACGGTCTAACATGGAGATTGCATGTCAGTATATGGATCATTTGGTCAAAATTTACTTAGGGTGCTTCTTTTTGCGCACTGTTAATGATTGTATCATACATTTCGTAACACTAAAAGAAGACTTTTATTATATTGAACAAGTTAACTTGTTATTTTTATATCTTTTTCCATGCGTATATTTGAAAGATTTGAGTAGAATGTTGATTTTTATCAAAATTTACTTTACTGAAAAAACTGTTTATTTAAACGAACGAAAAGTAAAAAAAATTACACGGTTTAAATGTTGTAATGCTTATGGCATTTTCAATATTTTTTATCATATCTTCTTACAATACTTACGCAATAAAAAATAGGGAATCTACTCCAGCTGAGGCGTTCGCAAAGATTGTAAACCACCATTCTTCAAAGAACTTGAAAAATTGAAAAGCGCTTCCTGGAATATGAAAATAATGTTTGATTTGTAGTATAATTTACATCAATCATGACTGCTCCAATCATTTTTTACAATATACTTTAGCATTAAAACAAACTCTAATCTAAATAGCCTTAAAGGATATAAAGGGAGATATTTTTTAAACATATTTTTTACAAAAATGTTATTTGGATTTTACCTAATATGAAATATTTTTATATTACTAACAATGAAATGTGAATCTTTTACATTTAAAGCTTTTTGGTTTACATATTCATGATTTCACGTGTTTTCAGAAAAAATTTTACTATCACACACTTATTTTGATAATTTGTGCAAAGATTTTTCAATTTGCTTTAAAAGTTCTAGAGATATGGCGAAATACGCAAAAAATAAAATTAACATTAGGGGGGACCAAACTTTGGATCGTCCTCCTGACCAAGTTATGGGGACCAAATTTCGGTTCCCAGATTGCAGCTACCCCCATTATTTTGTGGGTCGAAAATCTGAATCCGTTGAAAAAAAGGTATGTTTATTCAGAGAAAATACGTTTTTTGTGTCTGATTTCGTAGCTTAAATATTGTCTGCACTTATTAATTAATATTTATATCAAAAGCTATTAAGTGTAATTCGTTAAATTTTTTTTTTTTACTAACTGTTGTTTAATGAAGTACATCAAAATTCAGAGAAATATCATACCAATTAATATTAAACTAAATCGAACAAATGAATAATAAACTATAGTTAACTTTAAACAAAACATTTCGGTATTTTTATTTCTGGTATGTTATCAATTTTTTAAGAAAGCAAATTTTTGCTAACTGTGAAATATTTTAGAAGTGAAATTGAATTTACTGTTTTACTAAATTGCTTTAAAACATCATCTAAACGATTTTAATATAAATTTCTTTCTATTTTTGATTTTTAATTTCTCATATGAAACAGACAAAATGATTTATAACTTTTGTCAAATTATTCAGAAAAAATTTCCTCAAAAAAACTGTATTGGATGCAAATCATAAAAGAAAATTAATTCGTTTTCAATAAGTATTTCCATTAATTATTTTATAATTTTGCAAGTTTAAAAGAATTTGAAATATGATGGAACTAATTTAATAAATGCTGAAATTTTAATATAAAGTATATGAAATTTATGTAAGGAGATATTAGATTAAATTATAGATATCAACATCATTTGTCAACCCTTGAAATATATCAGACCCTTGAAAAAGTTCGAAATAAATGAGTTTGAAAAATAATGAGTGCATCATGAATCATTTGAATCTGGTTACTCTGAACTAAGTATTCGTTATTTTAAACTGATCTCTTAAAGTGACTGTACTATTCAAAACTTAATACTTATGATTTATTTGAGTTGAATTATTGGAGGATTTATTTTGTAGCTGATAATTAATACAAATGTTTTTGGTACTGCCGTAGTTGGAAATTTTGAAGAAATATTAGATAATTTTCATTAATTTTTACAAGTTTAAACTTAATATTTAGAAATTTTGATTGATTTTAAATGCAATCGTTCATTTCATTATTTAAAATACTGGGTACTTTAAGTTCAAAATATCAGATTTATTGATGTTCGGAAACAATTTTATTAAAGCAAAGAAAATATGTTATAAATTTGTCAGAATTTAGGGATTGTGTAAGTAAACAGCAGATGGGGCATGTCAACAACAAGATTAAAAATTAGTGCTCACCAATTACTGCATCTCAAATCGTAGATTAATATAGTTCTTTACTTAACTAAAAAGTAATTCACCCTTTTATTAATATGTCGATTTGCTGATTCAATTGGGTGCTTGCACTCCAAGAATAAGAAAAAGACCTTCTATATCCACGCTTCTGACCTATGACGTCAGCCCCAGCTAATCTTCATCAGCAAAATGGCGTATTAAAGTTGAGCTAAGTTTCTTTACATAAGTTAGAATGTTAATTAACGATAAGTTAATTAAATACAGAGCCTTATCGCTCATCGAATGAGTTGAAATACAATTATTTCTCGTCTTTTACTTAACTTAGATTTATTACTTGATTGACATTTTATTGTAACCATGATGTATTTTTGTTTTGCGGAACTGGCAACGCATAATTAGTCTGTTTATGTTCTACAAGGCTTCGTACCTGTATTTGTGTTACGTCTCTGTGTAAATATCTAGTGAAAGAATTGAAATCTTTGAAAAAGAATCTTTGAAAAAGAATCTTTGTGAAAGAATTTGAGCCACTTAAGAAAATTGATACTTGACGCGCTTGTCTTACTCGAAATAGAATGGAAAGAAGGTTGTTAACTTAAACAAATGCCACGTTTCAACAAACAATTAGGATCGATATACCTACACTACATCACTCGCTGGTTTTTTATTCTCTTCAATTTTTTTTATTTATTTAATCGTTATTCAATCGCCAATTATTTGCAGAATCGGTTGCAGTAGAGACTTTTGGCTCCATTGTCAATTAGTCTTTTTAATAAATTCGTCTATTTAATTATTTTTAGTGAATCGAAGAGTATTTTGATGTAATGTAAAAGTATCCATTGAATTTTAACCAACTGCTTGATAAAAATTCACGGTAAATAAAAGTTTAACACATAGGCTAATTTTGACGGACTGATTTTACGCGTGATGTTATCTTTGTTAAATTGAGGAGAATTTAGATGCAATATAACAAATGCACGATAAAAATTGCAGGAAAAAATAAGTTTTACAAATGGGCTGATTTTACTTGTGGAGTTATTTGGTTAATGGAGGAGAATTTTGGTGCAATGAAAACAACAAATGCCTTTAAAAATAAGTTTAACGCATTGGCTAATTTTAGAGAACCGATTTTACGCTTGGAGCTATTTTTTGTTGAATAAGGAGAATTTTTCTGTAATGAAAATAACAAATACAATTTAAAAATTCCTGGAAAAAAATAAGTTTAGAGAGCAAATGTTATCGCACGGAGTTATTTTTGGAGAATTGATAAGAATTTTGTTGTAATGCAAACGAAAAATATAAGATGAAAATTTACGGATAAAATGAGTTGGTAATATAGTTTAATTTTAGAATGCATATAAAATAAATTTGAAATGCCAAAATTGTTGCTTACGGTATTTGAAAAAATGGAAATCATTTGGAGTGGCATATGTCCACACGACAATGTAGAGGCAGGCAGACACAACTTTTATTCCTCTTATGCTGCTTATCATAGGCGTGTCACTCGGTTCTAAAGAGAATAATTTTCGAGTATTCTTTCCAACAGAAAATGCTAGGAAAAATTTTGCGAAAAAACCTAAAAAGCAAAATTTACTTGAGCAATATTTCAATGATTAATATGATCAGAAATAAATTAATAATATCATACATAAGGTAAAGCTAAGAGATTTCAGTAAGTAAAATGATACAAATTAATATCAATATTAGTTGTTTGATGAACTACCCAACAATAATGAGCCACCTTTATTATTGATGGGCACTTATCTCATTTCGATTGTGTGAGATAATATATCTTCTTGCAACGTCAATAGCAGTTGTTGCATCATTATAAGAAAGCCACGATGACTAATTTATTACGTAATTTTCAACGTCACCTTCTTCGTCGTCATTTTAATTTATATTGTCCACGCAAATTTAATTCGGCTGTTAAAATATTATCACCACAAATGTAAAAATTTCATTCCTGGTCATCTTCTCCGTCTTTCTCAACCCCATTACAAACATTCTCTTCAAAAGATTTCCTTACAGAAAAACGCTTCACTCAGATAAATTTTTTTTATACGCTAAAAACTTCTTTCTTTAAACAAAGAACTGTCGTCTTCTGAGATTTTCTAAAATAAAGGATCAGCCGAAATCATACAACATATCGTTTCTCAAGTAGTATTAATTTGAGCGCCGTTAAACAGAGAATTCTCTGACCAATTCCCTTAAACTTTTCAGAATTATGGGTTACTCGCTGAATATTATGTAAGTTAGTTTAAAATCGAATACAGTTGCACATGAAGGTTTTGTTTCATATAAATCATTAAAATGTTATATAACTAAAATATTATATCATGCAAGCAGTAAGGAGCCACAAAGAGACTAGTTCGTGAGGATGACCAAGCTACTTGAGAAAGACGACTAGTTCAATTCACTTCCATAGCATTATTTTATTAACCAATAGCAACTGAACCAAAAAAAAAAATATATATATATACAAAAATAAAAAAAACTACTTTTTACTTATAATAAAATTTCATTTGTCTTAAATAAATAAAAAAAATGTCGCAAGATACATACTTTCATTTTGTAACATTGCATCGTTCATTGTTTCCCCTGTTCGAAAGCGGTGGAGAATTTCTAACGAAGTTCCAGCCATAACAAGAAGCACTAGGAAACCAATCGCACAACTATAAAAAAAAATTGAATATTAAGGTGGCACAAAAGCATCATTGAATATATATCTGATTTCAAAATATACTTTAGAAAAAAAAAGAGATGAAATAAAGAATTAAGAAACAAAAAATTTCATTAAAATTCTTATTGCTCAGTTCCCAAAGTAAGAAAATNAAAATTGAATATTAAGGTGGTACAAAAGCATCATTGAATTTATATCTGATTTCAAAATATACTTTAGAAAAAAAAAGAGATGAAATAAAGAATTAAGAAACAAAAAATTTCATTAAAATTCTTATTGCTCAGTTCCCAAAGTAAGAAAATAACTGAACACCATAATAACTTTCAATCCAATGATCAGATTTTCATGTAGTAAGATAAAATCTCATTGGTTCGATGGCCTAACCTTAAATATACTGATTCTTAAGCCTTGTATACTGATAACCTTGAAAATGACTGCAGCATTGGGTGAAACTTTGAATCCAGCACACCCGCAATTTGCTAGATTCGCAAATCTTCAAAGAGCAACTGGATGAGACGTATTTGCAAAAGCTGGTGGATTCACTTTTATACCAAATCCAGTCGTTTAGAAGTGGAGTCAAATGGTGTTAAATTATGTCATTTCTAATTTTTCTCGGTAGGACTTATTTTTACTCCGGGAGCATATAAAAAATAAAATAAAATTGGCTTAATCCACATATATACTTACAGAACTGCAACTTGTTCCAGTTTTATTGGTCTTGGCTCGTCTGTTTCACATCGCAATGCAGTAGCTGAAAATCGAACCATAGCTGAAACTGAAAATTTATTATTATTATTATTATTGCTCAGTAGTGATATTAATAGAACAGATAAGGAAAATATTGTTATTAATCTAATAATTAACAGAGAAAATGTGCATGAATGGTAGGTTTCTTTAATAAATTAAACTAGTGGGCTGCGCCCCCTGATCGCTAACGCTCGCCAACCCCCCAAAATTGCTACGTAATTTTATATGGTTTGCTTCGCAAACCAAGTTCGCTTCGCTCGCTACTAACTTAGGTACATTGCAAATGCACAAAATTCTAAGAATTCAAAACAATCATTCAAATCCATATAACAACTTTTTTTTAAAAAAAAAATTACATCTTTTTAGTAAATACTAAGTCTTTAAAATAAATTTGAATTCAAATAAATGACATGTAATTCGTTAAACCTATTAGAAATGTGCTATAGTATAAAATCTTAAGATAAAATTTCTAAAACTGATATCTCTTTAAAAAGGTTAAAATTTTGGCTATAATTAAGTCTATTAAAAATTGAAATAAGTGAATTGCAATGGAAAAACCTGCATAAACAAATAAATTCTAGTAAAACAAATAAATTCGTGATATAAATCAAAAATCGTCAAATAAATTCGTGAAAAAAAGCGCTTTCGACAAAATACTAAAATAGAGATCTATCGACAAAGACTACTCACTTCTGCCTAGCTTATGCTCTCTCTGGTTATTTCAGTTTCCGTTTTTAAAAGCGCTATATATCGCTATTATAGCCATCTCAGCTAGATTTGGCATGTGACATTTTTAGCTGCAATCATTAGTCGATTTTCTAGCTGTGCCATTCGGGGAGTTGTAATGAGGCTTTTTTTTGTTGCCGTGTAAGAGAAATGCATATATATATATATAGATGTGTATTATTATTTCCGAGTGTTGTATTGCAAAAAGCCCTTTGTTATGTGACATAGAAAACATTTTAAAGTAATTACTAAAATTGCAAACAATAACATTTAATTAATAATATAAAAAAGAGTACATTTCATTCTAGCATTATAAAATATAATAGAACACTTCAGGACGATATTAATTAGACAATTTATGTCTGAATAAAAACTGAAGATACTGACACCCAAGTCTCAAGGATTCTCCATTTTATAATTTGCTTGCTTATTTTGTCGCTCGTTATCTAGATATTTTTTATTTAACGATTAAGAGACTTCGACTCTCTAAATATTCAATCATAATATGTGTATTGGAGATTGAAAATGCATTTTTTTACGTTTTTATGTTTATAATAAATTGCAAAAGTTATTCAAAAGATTCAAAATTCATCTCATGGGGACTTAATAAACTAAAAAAAAATGCCCTTTCCTTTTTTCCTGAATATCTCTTTACTACTACACTCTTACGAAGCATCTCTTATTTTGGACAAACACACAATCATTAAAAGTATAATGGTTTATCACTTAAACAGCAATAATATTATACAGCATTTATAATTTCAAAAATTTTCCCACATGTCCCAGAGACCTTAAAATGACTCCAAATCTTAAATTTTACTGTATTTTTTTAAAAATTTATTTATTTATATATATATATATATATATATACATATATATAACGCTACAAACTACTATGTCGTCTGATTCGCTCGAAAATAGTCATGAAAATCATTTTAAGGATTTGTAACAAGTTTCAATGGACAGCCAAATATGTGTCTTTGAAAACCATGCTAGCTCAAATGAAATGAAATACAAAAAGTACTTTTTCAGTTCAAAACAAAACTTAATTCATTCGATATTTAGAATTTCTTACACCAAAAATTATATAAAATATTTAATATTTAGTAATATTTCCGTGGTAGAACAAATTTAAGCGACATATTAGACTCAAAATAGTTACCAATTTTCATTTTAATAGATTTATTAGAAGTCGAGTAATCTTCCAAGACAAGGGAAAAGAATATGAATAGAGAAAAACTGGATTAAATCTTGAACTTTAAACTAAATACTTGAGTCTGCAGACAATTGTTGTCTAGAACAATGAAGGTGAAATTTTTTTAGGGGGTTTCAATAACTTTGCAGTAAATTTAAAAGTGTTTTGAGTATTGTCTCATATCTGGTATCAGAACGATTCAAATAGAAGTCATAACATGTATTTTTTTTTTATTAAAAGAAAATCTTTCTGTTTCTATTTACAATAAATTTTCAATAAATTCCATTTTCAATATACTTCATGATTAATTTTAATATTTTAAGATACGAATTTCAATTTGCAGGACTCATCTGTCTTACAGATAACATCTTAATATTTCTTACGCATGCGAAGGAAAAGATGAATGGATGGTATTTTTTTAAAATTTAAATGCTTAAGCGTACCCTTTTTCTACATTAGAATGCATCGCTGATATAATATGTTTACTACAGAGTTTTTATCTTGATTTCTAATTGAAAGGTCAAAACGCTAAGTCTTCTAAAATTTCAAGGATAATGTATTTATTTGCTGCTTTTAAATACGTTTTTGTTGTTATTCCGTTTCCATTTAGATATGAGATGGTTGCAAATGAATACAAAGCAAGTAAATGTTTAATTTGACATTGCATGGTAATAAATGATCTTCTTCATTTCCTCATAAAAGAGAACTTTGGTTTTATTTTTTGATTTTGGCCGTCTTTTATATTTTAGGAATTATGTGAGTTTTTAATAGTTGAGGTAAGTTTTTATTAAAAAAAACAGTAAATGTAAACAAGCATAAACTTGAAAAAATTAAAATTTTTGGAAGAAGTTTAAAAACTTCATTATTAGTGTTTTTTAAAATTTTTTTTGTCGCAGATAGTAATATCATCTTTGGAGTGAGCCGAAAATGTCACAATCTCAGCAATGAGATTGTATGTTCCAATGTCAGTAATGAGATCGTTTGTCATAATCTTTTTAATGAGATTGTTCGTCGCAATCTCTGAAATGAGATTGTTTGTCACAATCTCTGTTATGAGATTGTTTGTCACAAACTCTGTAACGTGAAAAAGTTGTATAGGATAAAAAAAATAATATTAAAGTTTTCAAAATCTTCCTTCATACCTTTTAATTTCAGAAAAAAATTATTTTATTTTTGTAAACGTCTTGTAATTGTTTTCCTTAAACAATATTATATCATATATCTACTAAACATACTTTCGTCGATTTCTTTTTTTTGTTGTAAAAAGATGTAGCAAGTGTAGAATTTATATAATGTGTAAAAAATGAGCAATAAAATTTTAAACTGCAATTAGGATCAATTAAAAGTTATATAAATAAAAAAAAAACAGTGCGTGCAGTCCCTCCGCACGGAAGAAGTTAAACTTCGTAACCTGCGACGTTAATTGTAGAAGAATCAGCAGTCGTAGAAGGATCACTAGTTCTATTCAACGACTCTTTTTCCTGCTTCGCTCTCTTCCGTGCTCTGTAATAACGGTAATATTGTGCATTTTTCCCTCTTGAGCCAGTGCTTGTGGTTGCCTCATCGTCTCGCCCTGGAAAATGTATTTGTATTAATAATGTATGTGAATGCGTCATAATGTAATTTCAGAAGAGAAAACCTAACAATCAATTGATATTCACAAGAGACGTACCTTGACATAACCTTAAATCCGTCGCATTGTCCGTGGGATTGTTTTCACTCATTTTTTACAATTGTTATCCACTAAATTTGAAAATAAAAAATACTACCCTATTAAATTATATGTGTATCAAAACAAACTAAAAAAATATTTATAGAAAAACAATACTTTTATGACTTTTATTATTTTTATGCTAGTGAGAACCAAAACAATATGGAAATGAATGAGGGAAAACTGGATCCTACCACGTGATTTCCCGGCCAATAAAAATGTAGCGTTAAACGTTTAACGCAACCTTGTTGGAAGTCGCATAAGAAGTATAACTTCAATAAACATTATATTTACTTATTTGATTAAAAAACTTTTCTAGCTTTAAAACTATGCAAATGGGCAATAACAGTCGATATGTTTCAATTGTGTAAAAATAGGCGCCCATTTTCTACAAAGTCTTGAAAATAAGCGTTTTTTTATATTCACGTGGCTAATAATGATAATTTTATAAGTTTCTAATTATAAGGTGGCTCGTGACCCGTAAGATTGACACGTCATCGTTGGGGACATTTTCTAATATTTCGGAATGCTAAATTCGTGATATGGTAATACAAATCATTTATTTGTGTCAGACAAGGTTTTAACATCCGGAAAATGAATTTCAGCAACTTTAAATAGAATTCATCAATTTAAAAGCAATTTTGATTAATTTCCATGTTAACCCATGGATCACTTTCGAATGAATGAAAGCGTTGTCAAAAATGTAACCTTCTGACATTTCTTCTGTACAGTTGCCGCCAAATTCGCATGCTCATCGTTTTTGATATCGTAGTTGGTTATATCATACCAGGCAATAGGGGTACGGGTTTTAACGGATCGTTTTAGAGATATGCTTGTTGAAATTTAATAGTTGACAAAGGGGTTCAAGGTTAGGCTTAAGAAGCATCAAGTTATTAAAATACTCACGTTTTTCTTACTGTTGCAAATGGTCAATAAAACGCAAGCTGTAGAATACTTTGCTATTGAAACGTCACGTACTTATTTGAAAAGTATAAAATGATATTGTCACTTAGCAATATTAAGGCCTGACGCATTCAAAGAGAAAGTTGTTAATACTTTTTGTAGACAGTTGTTATTTTTTTTATCGTGCGGAATTTTAAGATCCAAACTATAGCATCTTGTTCTTTAAATTATTTTATTGAAGGTACTTAAAATTTTATAGTCATGAAATAATATATAAATACAGTTTCAAGCAATTGAAGTATGTGAAGGGTTTCAAATCTCTTAAAAACTTAACAACTTGTTAGGTCATAATGTGTTTTTTAAAAAAAATATCATATATAGACACATAGTACGCTCTTTTTTCGTGTTGGGGTCATATGAGGTACAGACTTTTAAGCATTATACTAACAAAAGAAAAAGCTAAAATATTGTATGCGCAGTAACTGATAGTATA